TCATTCACCAATTTTTCAGACCATATCGCAAGTTTCTCTATCGAGGGCATAGGGTAAAAAAAATCTGATCAGCTCGGCCTTCGGCACAGGGGTTACGTGTACTTTTAACTTGAAAAAAAACGTGGACACTTGGAAGATTCCACGATTTTTGTTGAAATGGCATCGTGTTTTGTGAAAAATGGTAATTATGCAATATTTTACGTTATTTTGAAATGGACTGTATACGATGAAGAAAATTTTCAACAAATTGGCAACTGAAGGACTTTAAAGAGAAATCTCTCAGCTTTCCAAAATTCTTTTGGAATTTTCTATACGATCATGCGTTCGCAAGTTACAGGCGCTCAAAGTGGAAAGTGCCTTTTCTCATGTGATGACGAATAACTCAGCCAATAAAAACTGTACAACAAAATTAAAAAAAGAAAATTAAAGAGAAAAGTTTGCTCTCTAAAAGTGTTCCATTGGGATTACCAGAAAAAATTTTATTTGGCCCACGCATCCTCTCAAAGTTGACCAATATTTTTTAACATTCGCTTGCTGCGCTTCATCTTTAAAAAAAAGGAACAAACTACGTGAAAATAATTTTTGAATTCCCGATTCAAAAACCAGAAACTTCGTGCTACAAAATGGTCGTACACAATATTTTTTATAACTATTTTTCGCGGAGATATAGTCATTTGCAAATTACCCATACTTTCGGCAAATTTTAGTGGTCCCTTAATTTTGACGCTCAGTGTAGAATGAGAATAAGTATTATTCCTATTACTTTCGTTTTGACCCGACAGATTTATTAATAAACTTGACACACAAGATCTGTCAAATTTCCATCTTTGTACGTAAGTAATTGTAAGACAAAATCAAGTTCATTGAATGTGAATAACAAATATTATTATTACGTTCACAATCACGTATTTTTGCAATTCCTATCTATGTTAGAAGTCATTTCTGTCAACACTTTCACGACGGAAGACGTAGTCCTATGTCATTTCAAAAGTAATACCTACAAATAGCAAAACCGTGGTGTACTCAGCTACAGACTTTTGGAAATTATATGCAGTATTCAGGTAAACGTTTTGTTCGGCTATCGCCCGTTGCGAATGTGTTAATAGCTCAGAGACATGTTTACATATTTTCCCTTTTTCCGAGAACTTGATTTCCAATTATTTTAACAAAGCAGTAGGAACTTACCAGACGTAAGCATATTTTATGCATAAAACAATTCCACTACAACTTTTAACATGAAGACCATTTGTACAAGAAACACAACAAATATTTAATAATAATATTTTTTTTTAGTCATAATGCAGACCCTTGACTACTCTAAAATTCCTACTAAACAAAGTACACTCTATACAAGGTATCCAAAAAATCGTGGTACGTCGTGGAATATCAGTTTTTCAGTTAAGGCTACGTTTTCGAGATAATCGAATATGAAAATCGGCTGGATATAAAAATCTCTGGTGCATTTTTTCCTTGCGTTCTGTCTCTACTCACTATCATGACGATTACACGCGTTTCAGATTAATTTTCAAATTCGATTTTGTCGAAAGCGATAGCTCAAACGAAAACGTTTTGCATTTTTCGACTTATTTCTCCTTATAGAATCCTTGCTGTTATATCAATATCCATGTAGTAATTAACTTTCCTTTGGTTTTGTATAAGAACATTGCCCTCTTACATAACAAACGTGACCTTGTTTGACACAAACTTTTATCACACAAATGTGATCGACTTTTAAAAGTGATTCCAACAAAAAAAGCTGATAGTAAATTAGTTATTATGTAGCGTGCTTATTTTGTAAATTAATAATCAATACAAGGTGTAAAATTTATTTGAAAATAACCTTATAATACAAGAAGAAAATTAAATATTGTAACTTATGTACATTTATCGACATATTCTAGTTCATAGTGTTTTCGCGTTAAACACGTCGCATAGCAAAAATACCGGAGCGTATCGAAGATGGAGCCATACGTAATTGTGGATTAATGAATACTATAAGACGAGATAATCGATCAACGAGATTAAACCTATAAGATGTACACACTGTGATAGGTTTATAATGACATATAAATTTTGCAAAAAAGCACTTGGAATCTACTTGATAATCACAGAAATATTATAATTCAATCGATGAATGTACCTAGATACTACTTATTTCTTCGTCAAGATATAAACAATAACTGTTAATACTAACTGATAAAAACAGTAATACTAATTCGTAACATTTAATACAAGTCCAGTATATTGAAAAGGTAGTACTTACAATTAATTAGGTGAAAAATGATGTACAGTTAAAAAAACACAAATTACCTTATTTCGTAACGTTGTCTGAACTTTTCGAAATATAACAAAGTTTAATTAAATATGAATACAAATTTGTATACGTACATGTATTATTAGATTCGTATTGTTAGTGCTGAACCATTCAGATGTACATTTTTTTAACGTATTGATGACTGCTAAACCGTCACCGATATAACTTTTACAGTCTGCCTAATAAATACATAATTGGGAAAATTTTTACTTTAATATAGCATAGCTACATCAGAAAAATTCCACTGAATTCAGGTAGCTTGACTCTTCCTCTGTAACTCATTCCAGGTGAATTTTTAGTAATTCTTCGAGCTTCGTAAGGAAACGATGTTAACAAGTATGATTGCTATAAACGTGACAAGTTTCGAAGGAGTATTCTTGAAAAGGAACATATCGGAACACGAAAATATCACCTGAAATCGGGAGAATGAAATTTTATCCGAAAAACCTTCTTTTTGGGTGCGAATTTCTATTAATCGCGTTTGGTCTATTTTACTAAACTACCAAGTTCAACTGACTGGGAAACACCCTGAAAAGGTGCACGTTTTGCACGGGATCGGGATTTTATTGCTGTTTACGGATAACCTGAACCAAAATGATAAAAATTTATCAAAGGGTTTCTTGAGGTTAGTTGAGAAATGATGTGGAAGAAAAAATCGACATTGCACAAGGATATTGATCATAAACATCAGAGCCGTGCTTGTACGGAGAGGAAAAAGGGACATGGTATCCAGGTATTAGGATGGTCTTCACAATTACTTAACGTGAACCGCATTGAAAATGTGTCGGGATTATTGAAGTTAAAGCTTCGAGAAAAAAACAATGGAACTAACTACTTTAAAACAATTAATGCGCTAAATTCGATCATTGTGGTGATCTCTATTCAAAGAATATGCTTCAAAAGTTCCAGTCAATTATGAGCAATAATGGAGACTGGGCAACATATTGATACAAATGTGTCGTAGAGGTAGAGTAAGGATACCAGAAATCACCGAAATTTTTATGATGGCTGCATCCAAGTAAAAATTTTGCCGCTCACACATTTATTAAATAGATAGCACTAAACTGAAAATTATAGGAACTGAAACCTAGTGCAGTACTTATTTCTTAACTCTTTCAAATGTCGTAAACTCAATCGAAATTTGACATGTTCACCGTATTATTGCTATCAATGAAACAATAACAAATTTGTCTCATCGTTTTGACGTGGATTCCGAACATTGTTTTAAAAGCAAATGGACATTACTCGTTTCTAATTGTTTCCTTTTTTCAGATAGCTGATCCAGTATGGCGGCCGGTCTCCTTATATTGTACGGCGTCTTGGTAATACTACTTTTACTTTACTACTATCTTAGTTCAATCCACAACTTTTGGAAAGATCGTGGTATACCTGGACCACAGCCCACGCTCATCTTTGGCAACCTTCGACCAGTAACATTCGGAAAAATGTCCTTCGGCGAGACCATAAAACAAATGTACAATGAGTACAAACATGTGCCAGTGTTTGGAATTTTCGAAGGGAATACACCAATTTTGGTTGTTAACGATTTGGACATGATTAAAGATGTCCTCATCAGGGACTTCTCACTTTTCGCTGATCGAGGAATGCCAATGTTTCCCAAGGTATTCATAACTAGACAGTAACGAATAAAGGTCACTACTATATTTAAAAGAAAAAGGATTGCATACATACCGCGTGCTTCTACTTTCAATTCAATTTTACTTAAGTCATGACGACGAATTTTGACATGGTAACGGACTGACCACAGCCTATTACAGGTACAATGATTCACAAATTTGTTTATTCAAACATTTTCAAAACTTCATGTCAAGAAAGTGATAAAAGTAAAGAGAATGAAGTCACATAAAATAGAAAAGCATACAATTTTTCTAAATTAATTGTTATTTTGAAATTTCTGTTTCAATATGTGTGTCACTGTAAGGCGTCACTACCTAACTTGGGTACGATATTAACTTCAGAGTTGAGTACAATTTTATTCGAATAATACATAGTGAGCAGCAGCTGTATTTAATAAGGGAAGTTAGGTTGATGTGAGAATCCGACCTTTTTTATAACTTTGAAGACGAGTAGAGGGCCTCGAATTATTATTAACTGTCCTGCATTAAGGTTCGGCGGAAATTCATATTTAAATTAGGAAAACATCTCTTGCATACAGTATATTAGTATTAGTAAATCCAATAGCAGAAATATTTACCAAAATTATCCTACCTATCTTCCAGAAATCGTAAAAAACTACCGTTAAATATACTTTCTTAATACTGTGGCGGCTTTAGGACTGCCACCACGCCCTTGTTTCTGTGCGTTTAGTTTTTAACGTTTCTCACGGTCTCGTGCGAGCCTGGTTATTGTCATGAACATTTGCTAACCAGGTTCGGGCGAGACCCGGGATCTTACAGCTACGGCCACTTTTATCGAAGGTCTTTGGGTTTTCCTAAAGGTCCTTCTTTGTTAAGCTTTTCTCTGTTTCAATTTTAACTTCCCGTTTAGGGCGCCGTGAAGGTCGAGTGCCTGTGCACATTTGGCGACCAGCTTGTGCGGTCCTTGTTGTACCCTGATTTCTCCTTTTTACCATCTCTGCACTTTCTCCGGGTTTCCCGGCATTTTCGGTTTCCTCCCCTACGTCGTCTGTCTTTCTCTTCACTCTGTCTATCCTTTTTCTTTTCGTCCTTTTTAAGTGAGCGCGTAAGGACGAGCGCGGTCAGTCTGGCTGTACCGAGGTTCTGAACAGAACTTTGTCGCGAGCGCAAGGAACTTGTATACCAATAAACTGAGTATCACTGAAACGTGCTGATTACTGCTCTACTCCCTGTAATCCCACAATACTAATACACCATGCAATAGAGCTGGCATTTTTCTTAAGAATTTAGGATAGCCACGGGTGTGTCTTTAAAGTAAATGTGCACCAACTAACAAGAATAAAGTTTTTATTCAAACAAAAACAAGAACTGAACAATCACAAACAATAACGAAACTATAACAAAACCAAACAGTTGATAAAAATAAGCAATACAAAAGTAATGAAACTATGAGGTATCAGACGTTGTTAACAGTTCGGCGGTTGACGATATACTGCCCAAAATTGTCCGTTTCCACCGTCTTCGCATGGTTACACGAGAAAACACATGTCTCGTTTTCCCAGGACTTTCCCGAAAAAGAGAAAGTTCCCCTTCAAGCACTTGGGAAGACAGCGACGTAATTCGAACCTACCCTGAACCTCTGCCATGCAGATGTTATAGCCTGGTAGGCAAAAATGCAAGGGAACGCCGAAACTGTAAAGGTCTGCTACAAGAAGATAATCGTAGAAAACTATTGGCTCGCTTTTGTTTCAATACAGAAACAAGATAGTTTGACAAAACGCGTAAAGCCGGTAGTGGTACTCCTCGTTGGCGACTCGATACCATTAACTCGGTCACCATTTGCTCCAATATTGCGTTTATTATTTAAAACATAGTAAAATAACTGACTAAAGTATATCTCGTAACTCGAGTTGAATATCTGGAATGCAGTTCCAAAATAAAATTATTGAGGCTGTTGGAATGTTTTGTCGTTTTGTTACCCCTTACTGAGCTCATGTTGCGATTCGTTTACTTTCTCTTGAATTTACGAGTCAATCAGTGTCATTTTGTATGACCATTCCCTACCTTTCTGGTACTATATCAATCCTTTTTGTATAAAAATCTTCCTTTAAATACAAACATGGCTCGCCAAATCCTGCAATCTTTCCGACACACTTAACAAGAAGAGCTATTCTATTTGCTTTAGGATTGAACAATCTTCTCAGTAAGCGTTTTTCGAACGAGAAAAGCAGTCAGATGAAATGTTTTAAGTATCGTACTTAGTGAGATTTATTAATGACACGTATAATTCGCAGGTGGAACCACTGGTCGAAAATCTAATCAATTTAGAACCAGAAAGGTGGCGGCCATTGAGGACAAAACTCTCGCCAGTATTCACATCTGGTAAGATGAGAGACATGTTTCACCTCATGGTAGAATGTGGACAGCACTTGGAAGAATATTTACATAAAATAGTGTCGAACGATGAGCCCATCGAATGTGGCGAACTAGCTGCAAAATTCACTACCGACGTAATCGGTAGCTGTGTCTTTGGTATTTCCATGAATTCACTCTCCGACGAGGACAGCAAGTTTCGTACGATGGGCAGACAAGTGTTCGCCCCTTCTGTTCAGACATTCATGAGAGACAACTGCAGACAGTTGTTTCCCAGTTTGTACAATCTAGTGGGTTATATATTTCAGCCACATTACATTACGGACTTCTTTAAGAGTGTAGTTGTGGATACGATGAATTACAGGGAAAAGAATAATATAATTAGACCTGACTTTATTAACATGCTTATGGAACTCAAGAAGAACCCACATTGCTTGGAAAATATTAGTAGGTAATTTCATATTCAAAAATTTTTCCGTTTGCTTTCTATGTCAGCTAAAAGAGTTAATATGAAAGTATAAACACATTTTCCTGCCATGTTTTGCTGGCGACTTCGTTGCTATTATCAAAGAGATTACTCATTATGAGAGCCTGAAAGTAGAAAAAATATAAAATACAAAAACCTAGTGTTCTTTTACCATTAAAAACTTTGCCAAATAACGTAAACATGAAACTTTAATTATTCCACTCGGACAGCCGATTCTCAACTGCTACACGGACCCAATTGTTTGTCTAAAGAACTAATGAGCGCAATCAAATGGAATGTATGGAATCAATTCGTGAAGCAACACATGTCTTCAATTAGAATAACTCGTCGAGTCAGACGTATTTTACACGTATCTCACGCGAAATTTCAACAACTAATCATTCAGCGACGAAGCTTTGAACGCTTCTTCGCAGTCTTGTTTTTCATCTTACAATTAATTTAGCATGCAGAATCCACCGTATGAAAGTGTCCCATATTTTTAATGATACCCTCTAACTCGATCTTCATTTAAGCGCTGATTCACGCGTCTAATGTTGATAGGGAACTCCACTTCTAAATGTAACTGCTTTCAGGTGGGAGGAACGTTCTGCTAAAACAATAAATGACGTGGTTTTGTTACTTTTCAGAACTGACAGATTCGTTACTCAGTGCGCAGGCGTTAGTCTTCTTTCTAGCTGGCTTTGAGACGTCCTCGACAACGATGAGTCATTCACTTTACGAGTTAGCAATGAACAATGATATACAGGATAAATTACGAAACGAAATCAGAGAGAACTTTGCGCAACATGGTGAAACTTTGACATACGAACGGGTGAAACAGATGAAGTACTTGGATTGGGTGTTCCGAGGTAATTTCAAATGAGACCCAGTAACTCACAACGTTGTTCATGACGACTGTCACAATTATCTGTGCAAATTACTCAACAAACTGTGAAGATTTATTTAAAAAACAGGACAACCTTGTCACAAAATATTGATACCAAACAAATAAAGGACGTGGGGATACCTAGATAGGATTTCGTAAAAATTTAAATATTTTATTGTTATTTCGAAAGTATATGACCGAATGTGTGAATCACTGGACGAAGTTGAGTATTAGACCAGAATACTGTAGGAATAGAATGTTTCAGAAATATCTATCCGTTTATTGCACAGAAAACGAGACCAGAGAAACACTACAAAGTCGAGACAAAACGTATACTCGTCGACCGTAATACACAAACAATTGTGATTCGTAACCGTAATCGTAATCCGTAGTCGTAATCAGTAATCATAGTCGTAATCGTGAGCCGTAATTGTGATCGTAATCGTGTTCGTAAGCCGTTTGTCGTGACCGTCGTATCGTAACATTTTCATTCATACAGAGACTCTGCGGAAGTACCCAATCGTGCCAGTGCTGATGAGAAAAGTATGCGCAAATTACACTTTTAAGGGAACAAATAGTACTATCCCAAAAGGTACGAAGATATGGATACCAGTGTATGGAATTCATCTGAACCCTGAAATTTTTTCGAAACCTGAAGTGTTTGATCCTGAAAGATTCACCAAAGATGCCGTTTCGGCCAGACATCCGATGAGTTATTTAGCTTTCGGCGAAGGACCAAGAAATTGTGTCGGTATGTCCATATAAAGTAACTAACTAATGAATAATATCAATTGTGTACTAAGGCTTGTAGATTCTGCAATTTTGTTTCATCAAATTTCAGGAATTACGCGTAGAGCAGGTATTATTACCTAAGTAGAGAATAATATAAAAGATATTATACTATCGTATACCTTAGATTGTATTGACCTATTTCTTTATTTTTTCTGGCCAATAATTATAATTCATAAGTTTATATGATACACAAATTAATAAAATCTCTTTACCACTAGTTTCTATAACGTGAATTGCATCGATTGCTATGAGTTAGTTACATTATAAACGTATTGCTGATATAACAATCATTATTCTCACGGCATATTTTCAGGAGCCCGTTTCGCATTTTACCAGAGCAAAGTTGGACTTATCTCGATTCTTCGTAAGTACAGAGTCGATGTTTGTGAAAAAACAACAATTCCGTATGAGTCTGCCAGTCACACGCAGCTGTTAACACTTAAAGGTGGATTTGTATTAAAAATAACGAAAGTAGAATAATTTTATATTAAAATATTCTTATTATTTTGCTTACTGTTATAAAAAGTGTTATCAGCAGAATAACTTTTTTAATAATATTTTCTCTAGAAGTAGATGAATGTAATACTCGTAAGAGAAAAATATGAATACGATTAGTATCAGAACTACTTAGTTTCCACGAGTAGATACATCTTTATATCAGTGTAGGTATTATTTAAGACAATACTATTTAATGTGTAAAGAATTTAAAAGAAATAAATATATTGAAAACATTTATGTTGCGTCACAGAACACACTTGTCGGTCATATATGTTGTTTCTGTTATAATTACTCTACAGTGTGCGGCTATGAATTTATGGACAGCGCCGATCATGGGTTGGGGGGCTACAGCCCCGGGCCCCAGTTTCAAAGGAGGCCCTGTTCTAAGCCTTACATTTATGCCAAAAATAATTGAATGAAATTTTGTTAACTGTTTCCTTTTTGAAATAATTAAAAATTGTACTAAGTGTAAAATTAAATCGAATCGAAGTTGTTTAAATATAACGAACCATTGTTCGTTATAATCAAGCTTTCGTTAGGATTAAATGGTATTTAATTTTACTTAGAATAAATTTCAATTTTTTAAGAATAATGTATGTTATTGTATGCTGCATTACAATAATTTTGTGCTCTCCACCCCCTTGCTTTTCAACAGGGGGCCCTCGAAGCTTATATAGCCCTGGAACATACAAAATCCTAATACGGGCCTGATCACGAAGTGTTTAGTAACTATGTGATTTACGATTACGTTCTAAGACTGAGGGAAGTAGGGCGTGGTGCTAACAGGAAAATTGAGTGTATGTGGTCTGCCAGCAATGAAACTGTCGCGGCTTTTTACACACTAAAAGTTAAAACTGAGTACACGCCGTCTTCAGGTGAAGTTCACGTTATACTTCTGTAGTGTCCGACTAAAATCGAGGTAGTAACGTAGCTGGTTATGATGTTTTTGTTATTATTCGTTAAAGACAACAGTAAACAGTTTTGAAGAAAATAAATTCTAAGTTACAATAACAAAATCTTGTAAATATCGTTAAACATTGTGAAGGTACTACTATGGTTTAAGCAAGCATCACAGCCTCAGCTGCAGTTAATAATAGCTTGGAATATTTTCGTTAACGCAACATGAAATGTCGTAATTAAAATTAAAAGTAGACCGCGAAAATATTAAATATACGTGTCTCCATAAATTAATAAAGAAAGTATTCTTACTTATTCATGTATACCTGCTTTTAAATCGTTTTTCATCACGCAACTGTTTTATACCATATATCAGATATGCTTACGTTTTCTACTGTTAATTTGTATACCTATATACAGTAAAGGTACGATGAGAGTTGGATAGGAGGTTCCGGTTGAGAATTTCTACTTCAACTCCATCACTGGAAGGTCGGCGGGGCTTTTGAGACCAGTCAAGCGCATAAATTATTGCCTTGGCGCGCCGCGGCGGCTTCCCTTTCACGATTTGACAGCTGAACGTTGGAAGCCAAAAAAAAAAAGATTAAATGCCCGGGTATTGGTGAGACAACACTAATGCAACGATGAAATTTTTTTATTTTTGGTTGTTTATGAATGAAATCTTTTTTCACAAATTGATGGGATTTTTCTAATTAAAATGATACCAAACACGTTATGATTTGGATCATATTTACTCATATAGAAAGTGTTAACAGTTCATATTCGTTCATTATGGCTTCTCCTAAATCATAAGTAAATATGATCCAAATTGTATCGTGTTTGGTATCATTTTAATCAGAAAAATTTCACCAATATGTTCATAAAAGTTTCATTAATAAAGAACCAAAAATAAAAAAGTTTTATCGTTGCATTAGGATTGTCTCACCGACACCCGGGAATGTAACTTCTTTGTGAGCTCCCAACGTTCAGTTGTCGGCTCGTGAATGGGAAGCCGTCTCGGCGCGCTACGGCAGCAAAGCATGCGGTTGTCGAGTGCCACGGCCTCCCCCACCCCCCCCCTTTCGCGCCCTGCCCCCAGTGGTGGGGATGACGTCTGGACAATAAACGCATATCAACAAAGAGTCAATAATCGCGAGGACTCTTTTTTTTCAGCTGGTCGTTTTGGATGTCTACAGACCAAACTTGGCCTAATCAAAGTACTTCGAAATCACAAAGTGGACGTCTGCGAAAAGACAATGATTCCGTACGAATTTGATCCTAATACATTGCTATTGTAACCAAAGGGTGGGATATACTTGAAGATCTCAAAAATTTGAAATTAATATAATTTCATGAATTATATGGAAGTATTTCTTTAAATTAAACTTCTAAATGAGGTGCTCATAGATTTTTCTCATTTTTATTTAGAAATCGTGCAAATACAATATAGTGAGTATTATTCCATGTATGTAAATACTGCCACCGTGTTAAAATGGTAGCCATAAGCATTAAGAAATAGTAAATTTAAATTGTAAATATAGTAAGCTTCGTGAGTATACTATTTCGTGTCTGCAGAGTAGCTTTCTCGTGGTATTATAATACAATAGACGCAATGGTAACAGTTCAAAATAACGCCGAACGATACAGACACTGCGAGTTAATGAGAGCGCAAAACTCGGCAATCCGTTTTAGTTTAGCGGTTACAACAAAAATATCAGACCAGAGTACAAAAATCAAAATTAGTATAATTATTGTTTTCCTTAATAAAAATTTGTTTAATGGATGTGTTCGTACTACAGATTGCGTTGTGCGTAGGACGATCGCGGGAAAGTGCCTCTCGCGCTGCTATTAGTACTGCGTCATCACTGTCATTGACGTATGCGCATGTTTTACACTTACTTTTATTTTATGTTCATTTTCTTAATTTATATCATAATTGTATGTGGATTAATAAATAATATGTGTGTTAACTACAAGTACGTTTCGTGTCTGTCCCACCACGACCTCCGACAGAATGGATGAAATCATCTTGATAAAAATGAGTCCAAACACGACGTAAAGTGGACTATTTTCAGTTATATAGATTGGGGAATTTAAATGAGTACACCTAAACACCGTCGTAAATTGCGGTCGTATGAAAATCGCCTTAGCACAAAATATCGTTACTTTAAGGGGCACATGTGAGGATAACAAAAATTTGTTTCCAAGATTTTTTTATGATATTTTAATATAATACTGTCGATTCTGCCGTTTACTTTTAGATACTACTATCTTAAACTGTGAATTTGCATATACACTCACGAGCAAACTCGGCTTCCACTAGGGGAAAAAGTGGCGTAATAGAAAGGCCTCCTACCACTTGGTATTTGGAATTACTGAAATGTATGCCAAATTAATATTCGATTTAACATTTATTTCACTACCTGGAATAAATTTACCAAGTGGTAAGAGACCCTTTTCCTACCTTATTTTTTCCCCTAACGGTAGCCGAGTTTGCTCGTGGGTGTACTATCGCAGTCTACTTATAACAGTCGGGTGTCCACTCCATTTTGTTCTTGACTGTATATGTATAGGACGTATTTTCATATGACATTTTTTACTTATATCAATCTGTTGACTTACCCCGTGAAGTATTGACGTCATTTATTAATCACCCGGTATATATGTATGTATAGGAGTGGCATGTATAGCCGCCTGGCCGTTGATAGTACCATACTGCTTGGCCGGTCGAGCTGATATAATTCAATGCAACGTTTTTTTTTTAACTTCAATTAATTTTCATATGGCCAATTCTGAAGTCTCCATACTTTAGAAAATTTTTCCATAAAGAGGAAAAGTAGGACTATATCCTCATCTTTTTGAAACTTTTAAATAGTGTCCCGCTATTATAACAGTGCATTTCTTTGATTAAAATAATTGCAAAATAAATGGTTAAATTATTTCTTTAACTAAAATAATTTTCATATGTACCCTTATGTCTCCACTGCAAGCACCCCCAAAGCATATATCGATCAGTTTAATAGTTCAACAGGTATGCTTGTGCCAATTTATACGACAAGAATTATAAAATATCTCTTGTGTAGGCAACCAAAATATTCATGGTCATTGAGCAATCGGAATACTTCCATTCTAACAGATTGGATATACATAGATAATTTTACTTTCATAGTTTTTCGAAACTGTTAGTTTTTCCTTCCAATAATATACCAAGTGCTGTTTTAAACAAGAACAAAAAATTGTGAAAGGAAATTAAGAAGTGGGTACCTGGTTGCCTACACAAGGGATATACATACAGGTTGTCCCAAAATAGCTTCGACTTCCGGAAATTGGGAGTTCCTGGGATGATTTGAAACAACTTTTTCCTTGGCACAAATGTTATCTAAGGCTTTGTTAACGAGATATTAACGAAAAACCCCAACCAATTAGATCGTGAGTCTGCCGGCCGAGTTTCCGCAGTAGCGTTGGCGACCAATCGCAACGCATAGGCATAACATTTTTGCTAAGAAAAAAGTTGTTTCAAATCACCCCAGGAACCCCTCATTTCCGCGAGTAGAAGCTATTTTGGGATATCCTATACAGGGTGAGGCACTTAAAACCGGCCACCTGAATAACTTGGCTGCTATTGGTGATAGGAAAAAGTGCATCAGGCCAAAATTATTTGGTATCGAGAGGCTGATCATCCGATGTTGCTAGTTTTTTGATAGGTGGAGGCGTCAAGGAGATATGAAGGTCATCTCTGTTTTTTTAAATGGAACGGTATATTTTTTTACTTACATTCTGATAGAGTATTTCAAGACGAACACAATGACCTATAGAAAGGTCATTCGTGGTCTGGGTTAAGCCAATTGTGATGGAAAATAATTTACTTTGAGGAAATGATCAAGAACCGTTGATTTATTTATCTAACCGTAATACACGACTAATATAAGTGTTCAAAATGGTGACCTTGAACATTGATGCATACTCTGAAGCGTTGCTTGACGGATAATACGGCATGTTGAACTTCAGTTGTGTTTATCGAAGCACAAGCTCTTATACGCTCTTTCATATCTTCTTTGGTTGTTGGTATTTCATTATACACTTGCTGC